TCGGTGGCCACAAAGTTTAGTTCGGGGGGGCGGAGGGACAGCTCTGCTGTGGACTCCCAGGCGGAGCCGGGTGGGCGCCCGCGGGCACACCGGGCAGGCTCCTTGGCGTTCTGCACAGTGACGCCGGGGCTGGTGTTGCTACCGATGTTTTGCTCTTGTTTTCGATTGACTTTCTGCTTCTCCCGGGGAGAGCTCTGGGCTGGAAGCGCAGCGTGCGGGTGGAATTGCGAGGCTGGCAGTGGCGCTGGGTTAGCGCCGGGGTAACGCCTGGCTGGCGAGCTTTGTGGGGAAGCACAAGGTGTATGTCTCAGCTGTTCCGCGTGCGACTAGCCTGCTGCTATTGATCTGCGCAGCGGTGTTTTCGATTGACTTTCTGCTTCTCCCGGGGAGAGCTCTGGGCTGGAAGCGCAGCGTGCGGGTGGAATTGCGAGGCTGGCAGTGGCGCTGGGTTAGCGCCGGGGTAACGCCTGGCTGGCGAGCTTTGTGGGGAAGCACAAGGTGTATGTCTCAGCTGTTCCGCGTGCGACTAGCCTGCTGCTATTGATCTGCGCAGCGGTGCCGGTGCTTGGCGGCAGCGCTCTCAGCGGGGCTGGGGGTTTGGCTTGCAGTCGGTGCCTCTCAGTTCTCTCCAGCCTCGGTGTGTTGGGATGTTCCTGGGCCAGGAGCTGCCTGTTCCCGGGGGCTGCGGGTGTAATGCCTCCTCCCTAGGGGACAGGCGTTCTGCAGCTGTGATTCGGTGGTTGTTGGCAGTGACTTGGCTAGAACTGCCCCACTCCAGGAGCTGCCGTGGCTTAGCCCACTGGTAGCCTGGCCCCCCTACAGCTCAGGTGGGGTGGATTTCTAGACTGTGTGGCCCCTACCTGGGTGCAGGGAGGACAGCATGCTGGGAGAGCGGAGGGCAGTGCCCGCGGCTCGTACTGGGGACCGAGCCAACTTGGGCCTGGGTTTGAATGGCGCCTTTTTCCTACGAATAATATTGAACACCCCCGTCTCGCTGCTGTAGAACAGGCCGAGTGCCCTGTGGGCAGCTGGCACTGGAGTCCTGCTCAGCAGCGGGGAGGCGAGAACATTCCCCATGCAGCCGATGACAGGCGGGTTTGAAGGTGGCAATGGTGAGCTGCCTCGGTTTCCTCTGGGCTGCTTTGTGCCGTGTCTGTCACTGCTGCTGCCCAGAAGTTGTTAGGAATCTGCTTGTGTTGCTTTTCCCTTGGCTTCTCCTTGTAATGAATAAATAATAAAGGCTGCTCAGCACTGACGAAACGCCACAACCTGCCTCCCTACGACAGCACAAAGCACACAAGTGACAGGAGCCGCGCGCGGGGTGACGAGCCCGGAGGAGGGTTGCGCGGCGTCCCAGAGAGGCGCTGGGGCTTGCTTGGGCGCGCCCGAGGTTTACACACAATGCCGACCAGTCTGTGCCCGCAGCAGCCTCGTGCAGGGCCAAGGGAAAGCTGCCTGCTCTGCTAAGAGTTACCCTGCCGGGTTTGGGAACCTTGCTCTGCAGCAGCTGCCGCTGCCGCTGCCGCTGATTGAGCCCAGCCGCTGCAATAGCCCGTTTGCATGAATAATGGGATCCGACAGCGTCCCCGGCAGAGGCACGACACGCTAAGTGACTGCTAACTGTTCTGTGTGCAGACAGACATACGTGTGCGAGAACACGGGGGCGGGTCCATTTCTGAGCTGGCTCGCGATTGGCGTCTGACTCTTAAAAAAAACGGGCTGTCGTTTTGAATCATGCGGAGGGTGGGGGGGGGTCACCTTCCCCAGCGTATTTTTGCTCCTAAAGGTTGGCGGATGTTTTGGTTTGTTCTGGGGGAGGTGTCCGCTCCCTGCTGGGCGTTCCTCAGTCTCTTCTGCGTGTCCTGGTCCACCTGGCATGTCTCGGGCCGGGAGGAGAATTGTCCCACGGCGTGTCCCGGGAGGAGCGTTTTGGGCAGGCGGGTGCCCCGAGCAGCCAGTTGCAAGCGAAGGCCATGCCGGCAAGAGACCGGCCCCTTGGGGTGTGGGTGCCTCCAGCCCGGCACTTGACACTGCTAAAAGAAGCCAAGACCGTTCTCTGTCCTGGGGGGCAGGTCTGCTGCGGGGGGGGAGCCATTGCAGCGTTGCGGGGCGGAGCACAAGGGCAAGGCAGACGGGCGCGTCGGAGCGGAAGCGTGTACGGCTGAGTTCTGCTCACGGTGAGACGGGCTTAGATCTGCACGTTGCACTGCCGTGAACGGATGCCACTGACCTCGTGACCCAAGGGGAGCCGCTGGAGCCTCCTCCTGGGGTATTGAAACCCTGGTGCGGTTTGGGTGGGGAGTGCAGACCCCGAGCTGCGGTGTGCCTGGGTCTGGCCCTTTGGCTGGGCTGCCGAGCTGCGAGTCGCGTCGCTTGCCAGCCCCTCGCAGCCAGCTGAGCGGAATGCTTGTCAGCTGTGCTGCTTTGGCTTTCGGTCTCGTTCGAGCCCTTGGTGCTGGGTGGGTACCTGCCAAGACCCCGACCTAGCCCACCCCGGCTTCCGATCGCTCCTGGAGCTCGGGTGCTGGGCACGGGGCCCCTCCTGCCCTGGATTTGCAGAGCACCCTGCATCGCGGCCGCTGGTGGAAAGTTGCCTGTTTTTTTTTATTATTATTTTTCCCGAGAGCAGTTGTACGTTATGGCTTAATGAGAGCTCTGGTTTGGTGTCATCCATTATAAATGAGCAACTCTGTTAGTCACCCTGATTAATGAGCAGATCCACAGCGGGGAAGGAAAGGAGTGACCTTATTGGGCCTTTTGTTCGTGTTGTTTACTCAGTCGCGGCGAAAGTTGCCTGTTTTTTTTTATTATTATTTTTCCCGAGAGCAGTTGTACGTTATGGCTTAATGAGAGCTCTGGTTTGGTGTCATCCATTATAAATGAGCAACTCTGTTAGTCACCCTGATTAATGAGCAGATCCACAGCGGGGAAGGAAAGGAGTGACCTTATTGGGCCTTTTGTTCGTGTTGTTTACTCAGTCGCGGCGCCGTGTACATGTAGCGACAGCACGGGCCTGGGACGTACGGGCCCAGGAACACGGGGGAGATCGGCTATCGCAGGAAGAATTCTAGCGCTCGCGTGAAGCCGAAGTAGCCCT